GGTAGGTAGGTAGGTAGGTAGGTAGGTAGGTAGGTAGGTAGGTAGGTAGGTAGATAGATAGAGGGATAGAGAGAGAGAAATAGAGAGAGAGAGAAATACAGTAGATAGGTAGGTGTTTCTGCTGGCACAGCACTTGATCAATGTAATTCTCATCAATCAGTTAAAGAGCTTTTCAAAGGGAAAAAAAAAGTTTTTGCACTCTGCAAACCTCCCAAAACCTCCCATTTCTTTTCCAAACATGGGTCCATTTCCCCGCCAAAAGGCATGAGTAGCCTTGGGGGGCTTGCAGAGTGCTCCTGGGTGGTGGTGGTGGGGGCAAAAACGAGCAAACACTGCCTTTTTTTCGCGAACACTGGCCCGTTTTTTGCCAAATAAATTGCATGCATAGCCTTATGGAAGCTTATAGAGTGCTGCTGGGGACTGGGGGAGGGCAAAAACCGGCCCGTTTTTTGCTCATTTCTGCTCTCCCCAGCCCCCAGGAGCTCTCTGAAAGCCTTCATAAGGCTATGCACCGCCATTTTGGTGAAGGGGCGGGGCTTCGGGAGGCAAAAAAAGCTGTATCTGGTGTATAAGACGCACCCAGATTTTCAGCCATTTTTTTGAGGAAAAAAGGTGTGTCTTATACTCGAAAAATACGGTATTAAGTATCATCTGCACCTTCATAACTGTCTGGTTTGGTTCTGCAACCCAACAAGACAGACAGAGACTTCAGAGGAGAATCAGAACTGCAGAAAAAAACAATTACTGCCAACCTGCCTTCCATCGAGGACCTGTAGGCTGCACGAGTCGAAAAGAGAGCCGTGGAAATATCTACAGACCCCTCCCATCCTGGACGTAAATTGTTTCAACTCCTACCTTCAAAACGACGCTATAGAGCATTGCACTCCAGAACAACTAGACACAAGGACAGTTTTTATCCTCAATGCCATCACTCTGCTTAACAACTAATTCCCACGACACTGACAATAATTTACCAAGAATGTATTACTATTATTATTCTCCTCCTTCCTGGTACCTATCTCTTCCCACTTATGATTATAACCTTGTTGCTTGTGTCTTTCAATTTGTATTGTTTTTATTGTTTCCTGGTACGATTTGATAGCTTACTAGTAACCTTGAATATTAACTGTGTTGTATCTTTTTATTCTTATCACATTTTTGGCCAATAAAGAATTCTATTCTGTTCTTGGATTTGTCCCGAAGGTGCTTTTTCAAAAGGCAACTGCTCTTTCTTTTTCCTTGAAGAAAAGCCAAGAAGCCGTTCACCTTCCGTTCAGTTCTTGAGAACTGAAGAAGCTTCTTGGAGCAGACGTGAAATATCTTCAAAGGGAAAGAAAGAAAGTCCGTTTACCTTTTGAAAAAGCACCGTTGGGACAGCTGTCACCTGGATAACTGAAAATCTCCATAGACGGGTTTGCAGAAAAAAAAAGAAGAGGGGAAAAAATAGTTTTTAGTTGCCAGTTCTAAATTTAGACGCCTGTTTCCCCCCAAAAAGGAGAGTCCGGAGCACTTTACGGCCGGAAGAATTTGTAAATTTTCTTATTTCAGCTCATCCCCTTGGCCAGAGCGATGCTTCGTTCGCTAAGCCGGCAGAGTTGACCCTTTTGCAATGATTTCCCTGTTTCGCATTGTCCAGCCCTGGTTTAGGTTGCGCCGCATAAAGAAGACGTCCTTTTATTTCTCCCCTCTGCATCCACAGCAATGTGACAAATCCCAGACCAACACTTTGGAAGACGAAGAGATAGAGGTGTTCTACAAGATATTGACCGAACGCAAGGAGATTGACGGCATCTTCTCGGACCATGCGGAGGAGAATCCAGTCATGTCTCTGGACCTCTTGGTGCGATTCCTCCAACAGGAGCAGCGTGAGGAGAATGCTGGCCCCGAATTGGCCCTCTCCCTCATTGAGCAATACGAACCCAACAAAACAGGTAATCTGGGATACCTACAAGTGGGCATCCGGTTTTGGTCACCACACTATAAAAAAAAAAGATGTTGAGGCTCTAGAAAAAACGCAGAGAAGAGCAACCAGGAAGATGAGGGGACTGGAGGCTAAAGCATAGGAGGAACGATTGCAAGAACTGGGCATGGGTAGTCTAATGAAGAGAAGGACCAGGGGAGACAGGATAGCAGTCTTCCAATGTTTAAGGGCCTGCCAAAGAGGGGAGGGGGGGGGGTCAAGCTATTTTCCAAATCACTTGAAGGCCAGGCAAGGAATAATGGATGGAAACTGATCAAGGAGAGATTCAACTTGGAACTAAGGAGAAATTTTTTGACAGTGAGAACAATCAACCCATGGAACAGAAAGTTGCCTTCAGAAGTTATGGGAGCTTCATCACTGGAAGCTTTCAAGAAGAGACTAGTCTGCCATCTGTCAGAAATGGTGTAGGGTGTGCTTGAGTGAGGAGCTGGACTAGATGACCTACAAGGTCCCTTCCATCTCTGTTAAACTCTGTGGAGAAGCAGGAAACTGGAGATACGGTAGTCCCTGATTAGTGACACAATTGGGACCAGAATTTCCATTGCTAAGCAAGAGAGTTGTGGAGCTGCACCCATGGCTGATAAGCTAATCACAGTAGTTGTTAACTGAATTACAGGTAGTCCTGTGTGTGTGTGTGTGTGTGTGTGTGTGTGTGTGTGTGTGTGTGTGTGTATGTATGTTGCATTATATACCGCTTCATAGGCCTTTCAGGCCTCTC